AGAGTTGGGCCCACAAAAAAACAATCTAAAAAAACCATACTTCAATTCTTTTTGCATACTTCTATTTTAAATTTCAATGAAAAAGAGTATAGAAGTCACAACTCACAAGCACTAGTAATATTCTAGCAGAGGCATATTAATTATAAATTTTAGATATGAAACTTACCTCTATAGCAGAACCAATAACCTGAATGAGGCAATCAAATACATTAGTTCTCTTCACCTCAAAGGATCTCCAGTGAAGAAGGCATTTGTATACCGTAAATGCCGCAACTGGTTTTCCTTCGCTGAAACCGAGATCTTCTTTAATACATTTGAAAAGAATATCCACACTCTCCTACAGAATAAATAAAATAAAATGACAAAATCAGTTTACATCAATTTTACATTTAATTCATATTCTGAAAGTTGATTTCTTTCCTCTTAAAAAAAGAATTTAGCCTGTGTTTGATTTGAAGGGAAAGGATGAAAATTGAGAACTTCAAAAAGATTTTATGTTTGGTTCAATGGAAATTTTATTATTTTATATAAATATATAAAAAGTATTATACTTGACATAGTTTGTGTTGCAAGCTTGTAATTATAACTAAGTATTCAATATGAATAACAATAATAGTGTAAAAAATTCTGATTTAACAACAAAACAACAAAATTTTGATTCGAAAAGGTGAAAAAAATTTAAGAAAATATTACTCTTCTGAAATAGCGAAAATTGAGAGGTGTGAGATTGGAGGAGTCTATAGGTCTTCAACTCCCCCAAACTCACCACCATCCCGATTCCCCAACCAAAGACACAACACTCCCTTACTTTCCTCAAAACCCCTCCAACCCAACAAAGGCTAAGAGACCAGTCTCTGCTAACATATAAGAGACAATTCATGTTAACTGAGAGCTTACTCGTTGTCTATCAATTTGGGATCTTCTCAATGATAATGTGCCAAGTGGTTTTAACGCTTTTGCTGCTTGTGGGTCCAGCATAAACTACGAGTACACATTAATGAGCCGCGACATAGTGCATCTACTACCCAAACCGTGGCACAAAGCACAGGAGGAAGTTACATGCCTTTTACTTACCTGATGGCCATTCTCTGAAGGCTGCAATATAAAATAAAAGATCAGTAAAAAATAACCAAGAACAAACAAAATACAAGAATTTTTTTGTTTGCGGTGTCATGACCTGATTGCCTAGAGTAAAACGTCCTGACATTCTTTTAGATTGTGAATTCAATAATGTCTGTTTTCGATGAATATGGTCCTCAGTTTCTAAATCAGATAATTTCTCCTTGATCCTGGAATGAGATGCAAACATAAACAGCAATAAATGCATAATATGGAGTAGTAACAACAACAATATGTACGATGCTCAAGCTATACCAATCTCATATGATAATCATGAAACATTCATGAACAATTCCGAATGCACAAAAACGAACAAAACATATGGCAGTTCTAATGCTGAAAAGTGCAATATATGAAAGTATTTTTAAAACAAAATATTTTTGGGTTTCAAAGAAGTGTATAATAAAAAATAAAAAGGTGAAAATATTGAAATTAGGCTTATATGTGTCTCATGGATGCATAATGGTAAAAGTTCATTTCACCAACCTTTGCATGTCCGTCTTTAACTCGATCATTTTGGACTCTGCATCCATGGCTTGCTTCAACCGCTCCTCACTAAGTTTGGTTGTTTCCTTGTATTTCTTCTCTGTTTCTTCAAGAGAACCAGAATATTATTAATATAGTCAAGAGAGAGAACAAAAAAACATAGAAGTAATATAGACATTCAGTATCTTAAAGTATATTGGCATACCATACATGATAAACTTATAACATACCTTAAGTTGCATATTTTCAGCCGTAAGCTTATTGACAATTTCATGATCAATGAACTTGATGTCTTGTGCAGCAGGCACCTGCTCCATAGAAATCTTCTGTGTCTCATGCGCAGTGTACACATGGTCAGCAATCCTTTCCACGGGAATTAAAACATATGAAAACACAAAACGTGCCTTAGGAAACTCATTTTCAGAAGTGAGCTCATTGACCTTTCATTGACTTTTTCGGGCGCCACAGGCCTCTCTGCAGCAGTAAATTCATTGACTTTTTCTTGATTAATAACGTAGAGATCTTGTACCAAACACTTGTTCTTGGTAGTCCTGTTTGCAGTCTCATGTTCAATCGTGAGCAAAGCTCTAGTCTCTTGGAGCTGAAGGTTCATTTCTTCCAGAGCAGGCTGTAGTCTGGCACTTTCCTTGTTTTTGGCTTCTTTTGAAGCCTATAAATGATATCCAGAATCAAACATTAGAATTGGGACTAACTAGACAGAAGAAACAATTGTCAGAATACGTGGTAGATACACCTTAATGCCGTGGTGGTATATATTTGAGTTTGTATAATAGAGCTTAAAGCCAGTTTCTCTACTAAAGATTTAAAACATAGCAGCAAGTCACCAGCAATTTACTTTAAGTATCTCATTTTCAGTGACGAGCTTATTGACCATTTCAAGATCAATGACGTGAGCCTCTTGTACAACAAATGCCCCTGCAGTGCTATCTTTTCCTTTCTCACATTCTTTCATGAGTAATTCTTTAGTCTCTTGAAACTGAAGTCGCATTTCTTCCAAAGCAGCCCGCAGTCTCACATTTTCTTCAGTTTTGGCATGCTCCATGTCTTCAATCTCCTTTGCTTTCTCTTGTTCCCTCATGAGCAATTCTTTAGTCTCTTGAAACTGAAGTCGGGTTTCTTCCAAAGTAAACTGTAGCTTTAATTGTTCTTCAGTTTT